GAGAGAAATCTTTAAAAATGATTTTCTAATTTACAAAAGAAGCTTGCATTGTGAAACTCAAGCGGTATAAATTGTCTTGCACACCTAGTTTAAAGTTAGCCTTCATTTTCAGCCGCAGTACACCAGATGCTACCATCAGTTTGCTTTTAAAGAAAGGAGCTGTTGGTAGCCCTTTCTTTTTCTACACCAAGATCTTTCTCTAAAGTTGCATAAAGCTGCCTGAAGCTGTAATATTGACTTAATGAAATAATAACACCCCAGCATTTACCATCCTTTTCTTTATTTGGGTAATGATTTGGTGTCTGTGGGTGTGCAGTTGATGCCTTACCAAGCATTATTGTGATATTACCATATACAGTACATACACTGTAAAATAAAATATACAATCTTATTGACTTTTTTAAAAAGTATGCAGACACCCAGTACATTATCCCTGATTCCCACTGACATAGAAAACCAACCCATGGCAACTAAGGGTAGTGAAGTCAAAAGCAGTTTTTAAAACTGTATTTTGGTTTGAAATTTCATACTGTTGATGATCCTTCTGCAAAACGCTTCATGGTCCTTGAAGGTGTTTCCAGCACTTCATTATTGTGGGTCAGCAGAACACCATTCATACTGTATCAGTTGGTGATATCTCATGCCAGAGTAGCTGTTTTAAGCACAGTATCTCGGTTTTCTATTTCAGACCCTGTATTACTTAATATTCAATCTCTGCGAGAAATCATTTGATGCTATGGTGTTGGTAATCACTTGAATTTTCTCAAGGACTTATTTTATCACTGAACACTGTAACTGGACCTGCCTTTTTGCTATATTGTCCTATTTCTCATATCATTATGATATGGCTGAGCCAATATATGTTGTTCTCAGTCACATAAAGTACATTTCTTGATAATGTTGTGAGTAAATCCAGTACTCAGGGAATGTGGACATAAAATTTGACTCTCGCCTGACATTGCAGTGTGCATGTGCAGGCACGACTAAAGCGTGGTTTGTGTGACATTGTCTGTGAAAGAACTTGTCCTTCCCCAAGTGAATCACAGAGATGCAAGCTCCTGCATCTTCTAGAAGTGACTTGAGCATTTACAGAATCACTGTTATCTCTGATAATTTGCTTGAAAAAATAAGTTAAATTCAAAATGCTGCTGCTCATGTCTTAACTAAATTCAAAACACCTTGTCACGTACTCTCTCTTCTTGTTTTATGTCAAAGGCAGCTTGTTAAATTTAGAATCAATTTAAAGATTTTGGGATGGGTATTATGTTCACAGTATTAACATAAATGATTCTGCTCCAGAAGCTATCAGCTTTTAGCTTATTCCCCGACTGTCTTCTCAGCTAAACTGATACTGGGTTATTGTATGTTCCTAAAACCATACTATTTACCATGGGAAAGAGGTATTTGTTGGGTAACACAATTGCACACTGGTTATTTAAAAATGGACAGAGGGTTGTAGTCTTCTTACACATACCAACAGCAAGGAATAGCTGAAAGATAATAACCACAAAGACAAACCTAAGGCTCTTAAAGAACAGGGGGCAAAGTGAAAATAACCCATAGAGAATTTTATTTATTTAATATTCACAACTAAATAGGTTTAAAGTTTATATTGTAATGAGCAGCACATTCAGTTCATTAAGGGACATGGATAAACAGCAAATGATTGTTGTTGAAATGAAATAATTACCACAATTACAGTACTTAAGCCTAGCATTATGTCTGTGCAAATTATTATGTTTTAAAAATCAATTTCATTTTATTAAAGCAATGTGATATCAAAGGGGCATTTATGTGTAGATTTTGTGCTCTAGAGAGCACTCTTTCTTGTGGTAAGGCACACATTTCCTGACGTTCTTTGTGTGATGCAACCTTGAACAATCTCTCGTTTTCTCTCTCATGGTAATTAGTTATCAGTGGGGAAAAAATGAGACATCAAAGATATTTCTGACTTTCCTTTATGTCTTTTGAAATTATTGACCAATTCTGCAAACATGGGCTGTGTTAGTAATAATATCAAAAGACTTTGAGTCTCATGCTGTTAACACCTTCAGGAAAAGGAAACTTTTCATATTTAATATTGTTGAATTGAAGGTAACTATTACTATTGGCAAGCTGTACAACCAAGCACAACACAAAACCATTTTAAGGATCATGCCAGTGTATTTTTCTTCACATCATAAATCATTTTATTCTATAATTTGTAGTCATATTTCTTTATGTTGATTTATACAATTGATCTACACAATTAAAAGGTGTGAGGGTTGTCTTTACAGTTTTGCATTGAATAAATATTTTTAAAAGTTCACTTTTATTTTTTATTTACTTAATTTTTCCCGCACATTTGTATAATATTTTCGAATTTTTAACCAAATGGAATCAAATCAAAAACAGCACTATTTCTAACAGCGCTATTAAAAAAGATCAAATCATCGTGTCAGCATTGTCAGTTTTAAACACTGCCAAGAGGATTAAAAAAAAAAATCTTTGTTAAAATGTTATCAAATTTAAAAACCCTGATCGAGATGCACACTTGAGATTTAAAGACAATTAAAGGATGTTTTGAAAAACTTCATAGGAGATATGAATATGAATAGGAGATATCAATATGAGATCCCTTTTTTTTAATGAATACAGATCTCATGAAATAGCTTGTAACATTTCCAAAGTTGTATGTCCACTGTTTTACAGATTGAACAGAACAGGTCAGAGACAAAGCTTCTGGTCACTGTCATCTAAAGTAAGCTTATCCCTAATTCAACATTTTGTTTATATCCTGCATACACAAGTGGTTCAATCTATATTCAAGATAGAATTTATAAAAACATTTACATTGCGGGCAGACATTATTCAACCTTATTGGATCAGGTCAAATATTTCTATGGGACATTTATTTTGTGAAATTGTTGTTTTTTTTTCCATTAGTCAGTACTGCTTTTTAAAAAAAAATGTTAACACTATTTTTCAGAATACATTTAGAACAGTAGAAACTGTGACCTGCATTAAGCCATCAGCAGAAAATAAATCAGCTGAAATAAATAAAACAGCTCTTGCACATCTTGATTGCTTCCAAAAAACAAATAAATTCTATAGCTCACAGCATTGCTTGCAGCTCCTTAAAGCATGTAATCATTCCTTATCAATGAGACACGAGAGACATTTAGTTTTTAACACAGAAAAAACGATAGTTAATATTGGCTTGTGTACAATACCCTAAACTGTAGAATGCTGCCTTCCACAAGGCTTGTTTACTTTATACTTAAAAAATGAATTAAACTCCTTCTGACACATTCCTCTCTGAAGGCCTGCATCCAATTTCAGCTCCGTTTGACAAGAGAAATGAGTTTTGGTGGCCTCAGGTTAGCTTCTGGTGAAAATGTATCTGCGTTGCATAACCAAAACACAACCTGACACCTGCGCTGGCGATCTCAGGGTTGGAGAGATAGCAGGAGATGCGACAGCAAGGGATACCGAACAGTCCTCCCCCCCCCACTCGTAAATGATCCAACCGATAGGGGAGCAGTGTGCCACATTACTGTAACAGGAGGCTGTGTGGACCAGCACACAGGTCTGCCTCTTCGTTGGAGGCATGAAACAAGTTCCATTCCCCCACATCCACAGTTCTGTAAGAACTCCCACTTTCCAGCGGCACTATTCAAAAGATGGGATCAATGCGCACTGTCAAAATATACACGGCAAAGGATTTATGACAAACTGGCTCTGTCATTTCAGAGCATCAGAGTGATTCCCTGCTTTCATGATACAGTAGGCATTCACCCATTTTCTAACCCCCTCTTCCACCTAAGGGTCTTGGGGGAGCCAGAGCCTATCCCAGCAAGCAATGCGTGCAAGGCAGGGTACATCCTGAGTGACGTGCCTGTCCATCGCAGGTTTTCATCCAGCTTAAGAGCTGAAATTGACAAACCCGTCTGTCCTGCTTGTCGGTTTCCTGTATGCGACTCCAATTCACACCTGCTAGCAAAACCAGGCCAATGGGAGGATAAATGAGCATTTTAGGATAGTTATCAGTTAATTGTGAAGAAATCGATAAGCTATTGGATGTTACATCCTTATCCAGAGAAATATGAATATCAGTTTTGCAGATTAAATGTATACAGTATAACATGATTGAAAAAAGATCAGCATGTGCTGTGCTTTAATTGATTGTTCTAGAACTTCACCTGTCATTTTTTCTTTTGGGAAATATTGCATTTAATGACTTTTAATAAAGGAAAAAATTGACATTCTAAAGGTGGAAAGAAGGTGTCTCTTTCAAAGCAGAAATAGCAGGGAATCTTCAGCAGAGGCTTAGGGGAAGAGTGCAATTTGTGAAAAACGGTTCCAGTCGAAATTAGGCACGGGTAGACAGATTTAATTAGTTCGACTTCTTTAAATAAATATATTTATATAAATAAGGTATTTGGCCATTTATGAGTAATAGATGATGAAGTAGGATAAATTTAGAAAATTAAGGACTAAAGAGGGGAGATTGATACAAACATTTCTGATCTTGAAAGCAAGAGGTAAAATAAAGAATTAAATATTAGCTTAGACGCTCACCAAAAATAAAGTTAGAAATACTTAGGCAATGGTTACTTTGCATTCTCTTAATTTCTGTTTATTGTTGTTCCAAAATAAATATATATAGATACACTAGATAGTTGAGTAAACACACCCGTAAGATCCCCAAAGCATTATTTCCCTTATTACAAAATAAAGCAAACTAATTCGTCCAAGAAAAGTTATCACATAGAGCAAATGTATGCAGCAACAGTTTTGCCAAGTAGCAAACATTTTGCGCCATCGGTATAATTAATTATAATATAGCGATTAAAGTAAAAGAACATCAAACGCCCGACAAATTAACCTTCATACCCACGGGCTTCAGACGCTGACTTCTCTAGGCAGCACTATTTGTGCTGAGGAAGCTCATAGCCCTGTGAAGCGGCACTGCGGCATAGCTGTATCAATGCGCCTGGTCTTTACTCTGGGATTGTGAAGCAGGGACTGGGAGAGAAGAGCGCCTTAGCTTCCTTGCAGGATATATTTGTTTGTTGAATTTTTTTTCTTTTTTCTTTTCTATTTTTTTTTAAAAAAGCATTCCTTTCCGAATGTGTGCGACTTGGCCGGAATTTTTTCCACTTGCAAGGGTTTGCATTTCTCCGTTTTGCATGACGTGTCTTGGAGGAAAAAAAAGCCCTGCTTTGTGTGTTTGTGGAAATAAAGCGAGCTGGAATAGGAGGCGGGTGCCAGTTGCTGTTGTGGGCTGGACTGGCCACGGTGCGTGAGGTTTACTGACAGAGAGGCAGACAAAAAGGACTGAACACTCAGAGAGAGGGAGAGACAGAGAGAGGGAGTGGGAGAGCAAGACGGAGGGGAAGAAAGAAGGGCGAAGGGGGAAAAAAAGATTTGCCAGAGTGATTGTGCTTGTGTGGTATCAGGGAGGCATATTCGGATAGGGGCATCAGGTTCAAAGAGGTGACTCTTGGGGACAGACATTGGACATAGGAAAGCGGGGTGTTGTATGGCAGGCTAAACTCATTTGGAGCAGACACGGGCGAGAGCAGAGATTAATAGGTTCTGAAAGGGGTAATAAAATGCATATGGTAGCTAAAAGTGCCCAGTCTGCAAGCGCATGCAGTAGGTGCAGGTTTATAATATTTGCTCCGGGAAAAAAAAATGTTTACTTTTAATTGGCAGCGGGTCTTCGCCTTGCGTAGCAATGGGTATGGTGTAAAGTTTGAAGAGACCGTTTAAGGTTGTGACATATGCAGTACTGTGTCAGAAATCTTAAGGGGCGCTTTGAAAAGGTGCTACCCTCTTCCTGGAGACCCCCTGGCAATGAAGGGCAAGCCTCATGCTTTCTTTTTGACCTTCCTTCTTATGTGAAGAATGACGAGCGTGACGTGAGGAAAAAAAAAGTCTTTTCGGTGCAGGACGTGGGGAAGTCCGCAGAAACTGCGAATGAGAGAAGTTTTCTGTGAATGAACCAGTCGTGAAATGAAATACCAGAATGCATTCTGATAACACGAAGGAATGTAAATATAACCAACTGAGGAAGCCTGATATCATAAATAAATAATAACACTTGTTAGACTGGTTACATTTAAAGAAACTGACCTGGAGAGATACAAGGTTGTTTGTATTATAATGTAGAGTTGAATTTAAGTCTTAGCTGTCACAATGTAAAAAGTAGCAGTAGAGTTAAAAAAAAACATTCTGTAACTGCAGTATGTTTCCTTTTTATTTTATTTTTAAAAGAGGGATTTAGTGCTTGAGCTGGTACATCTGAGAGAAGATCACTGCAAGACGAAAACCTTTGAAAAATGTCACGGAAAGGAATAAGAACACCTAGTGAATGTGTTTGCCAAGGCTCTTGCATTGGATTTTGCTACTGTCCACCTGCAAAGATATTGGAAGATTTCTTTCTTGGCGCAAAGTGCTCACAGTTTGTGCTGAGTGCATTAGAACTGCCCGGGGCACACATGGGGAGTGTGGTGACAAAGCTGTGTTCAGGGGTCTCTTGTGGATTCCAGTATGGAAAATGAAATAACCATAGAGTGGAAGAACATCATGTGGACATTCTGACCAAAATGATACCACGGACCGCTTCCATAAAAGGACAGTAGTGGACGGTACTCTAGAACTGACCCATTAGCTACTGCAGACTTGAGGATTTGAAGAGGTGGAAGGGATGTCAACCAAAAGAATAGTGTAAATGTTCAATTCCAGCTGTGGCACCAGGAATTTGTAAATTAATAATCTGGGACTGATCTGTTTTGAAATATGCAATGTAGTCCATCAGGGAAAAATGTGTTTTTTTTTTCCCTTTTCTTGATGCATCGTGTGTTTTGTAGATTTGTAGAATGGTTAAGTCTCGGGAAAGAAAACTTTACCATCTTTATGAATTGTACAATTTATTAGCATTATATGCTCTGTATTGACACGTTTTTGTCACTGTGGAGAGTGGTAAATTGTTTTTTAAGCATCTAATTTAAAGTTACCTTGAGGACCAGACATGATTTGTAATTAAGCAACTTAAAATATCCAGTGAAAATATAAGACCAGTTTCTTGTAATCTTTCAGGGATTACAGAAAAGAGTATTTGAGTATACTTAGGCGTTTGGGCTAATATTGATGTAGTACAAATGTTTAAAAATGAATTCTGTGTGTGTAGACGTCTTTTATAGTGGATAGGATGAAGGTTTCAGAAAGTGGGTCACTTCCTTAGTCACTCGTTTGAGGGACAGGTTGCTCTCTCAGGACTATTTAAAGGTACAGACAAGACAAGGCTAATAGACTTTACATTTAAAGACAGGGATGTGACAAAAATGTCACCAGGTTGGTTTATCAGATACTGACAAGCAGGTAGGTGTAGAAAGGGACAAAGCGTCTGTTGGGGGAAAAAGTTGGGTGTGAATGGTAAAAATGTTGGAAGTACTGTATGTGGTTGGAGAGTGTGAGAAGAAAAGAGAGTTGGAAGTCCTTTAAAGTTACAAAACTGTCTTGAAACATTTGAAAAGAATACATTAAGAAGTGGGGTAAAAATGCTGTGTAAAATTGTGCAGAAGGAACTCTTTGAAAATGTAATGAGTGCTGCAAAGGGGATAATGATTATGCATTATAAAAGGGATAAAAAGTTAGTTGTAGAATTTAAGAGTGCTGTAATGAAACATTAACTCGTGATTAAAATTGATAATTACTTTGGTACAACATTCTGTAAGGACAGGCAAAAAAGCCAGGGGGATTGTAATAGATTCTTCAGTTGTTAACTGGAGAACATGTTCCAAATGTATGCTTTTTATTTTGTTTTTATTTCTAGGAAGGAGCAGTCTACACTTAAGAAGTGTGGATTCTGTGAGGGCCACTATGCATCTTTACCGTCACCACACCTTGATGGAAAATACCCAGTGACGGGCGGCATCTCATTGCAATTAAATACATGTGTTGTTGGAGCTGAGATCTTTCTTGATTGTGTCCGACAGCTTCCACTGGAAAGTTATAACTCATTGTTTCCGAACTGGCTGGATGTTGCTTGTCAACCTCGCAAATGGATTCTGTCGTGAATCTTCCACTTTGAGACGTTCTTGAGGAGAGACTCCTGCTTTGGCTTCTGTCGGCTTTTCTGATGGTCGTCTGCTTCCTTGGGGATTTTCTTTGTAGCAGCTAACAGTGTCCAGCAGCTCCTTTGGCGGTGTTACAGGAGTGACCCTTCCGAGTGTTGTCTGTTGGAATTGGAGCTGCTTAGGCGCTTGACAGAGTTGAAGCCAGCCGGGGGGGGGACGTCTTTGTGGTCCTCATCTGGGCAATGGATGGCCCACGGGCTTGTGGGCTCCGGAAAAAGAGGAGGTCGAGGTCAGAAAGGGACAGGGAAAGGAGGTCTAAAGGAATAAGGAACAACCATGTCAGGGCCGCTGTCCCACACTCTTCTTCCGAATCCGAGAGGGAGGCAGGAAGGAACCCTTCGTCGTCGCGTCCCAGGCCTCCAAGAAGGAAAAGAAAAGAGTCTTCCTCAGCTGAGGAAGACATCATAGATGGGTTTTCTATAGCCAGCTTTGTTACCCTGGAGGCTTTAGAG